TCTATATACTTATATTAAAGGTCGTTACTTAAGTGTATCAATTATTATTCAATAAGGAGTTTAAACTCTCCTACGATTTAAATTGCTAAGGGGTAATCACTAAAAATTTTCAAATATCTGTCAAAATAACAGTCTTATGCTATCTGAAAACATTTTAATAGTTTAAAGCTCACCTACATGTACGATTTAAATTGCTTAGGGATATCCAACAGATCATTTTTTTTAATAAATACTAAAAATTTGCAAATATCTGTCAAAATTGCAGTCGTGTGCCACCTTAAGGAATTTTAATAATACATGTTTAAAAGGTCACATGTCCGAAAATATATATACAAAAATATGTTTAAATCTAAAAATACACATTTGACACTATGACTTTTTATTTTAAAATAATGGAGAACTTTTTAATTTGGTCTTGGTGGAATAAAATTTAGGGGAAATTAGCTCCACCGCTTTCCATCTTAATATTGATTTTTATTTTATCAACGCCTGACTTTTAATTAGTTTCTGACCCCAACTTATAACTGTAATGTAAAATCTGGCAGATATTTTCACATCCGTAAGAACAAATGTTTCTTAGTAGGGTGCATTTTCTAATAAAGGATCAAAGGATGCACATGGTATTCTATTATCAAACTTTCACTACATCAGGATCGTGGCGTTCCTTATCAATTAGCTTAATGGGGCGTGTTAAATTATTACATAATAATTTGAACTCTTGACAGGCGCTTATCTTTGAAATTAAGAAAATCGACATTATCTAAACAATGTAAAGTTTTTCTATATATTTACCCATGTAGATGGGTATTTAGATAATAAATAATATAAATGTACATGCATGATACTATATATAAATCATACACTTTTTCTATTACTTTTATTTATTTTTGCACCCTGTATTAATAAACTAAAAGGAAATATGTCTACCTAGCTGAAAAAGCTTACAAGAAAGGCGATGTAAAAACAAATAAATTATATTCTAATATATGAGTTAACCATTTGTTGGAGGCAAATACATTTTATAATGTCATAACGTATTCTACAGTATACAGGTTTAGGCAAGGAAAACATTTTTTTGTATTGATCCTTTATAGAATTAAAAAAAAACGCATAATAGTTTTTAATTGTTTGTTTATATTTTACTATTTTTCGAAACATATTTCATCAGAGATATGAACCTGAATAATTAAATCATGAATAAATCCTTGCTGAACCGTTTTGTGTTTGCATACATGTACATTCTTGTGATGACAGGTAAGAGATGTACTACGAATCAGATGTGGATACAAAAATATTCCATAGATTTTTTAGTGTACATTTTTTCTCTTGCAATCCAATAAAGATTTTTTACTTTTTTACTCAAGTATTCCCATTTTAAACTTCCAACACAAATTGAAAGAATTTTTCCAATTTTGCTAAGCCAACGAAGATACAGTTATCTTGCTTTAGGGAGGAAAAAGTCATACTTGATAAACAACCCCAAGGGTTTTTTTTCGTTAGAAATATTGTCCTCCTTGGACTTCTCTCGTTCCGGCAGTAAAATCCTTGCTTCAGTCGGGGGCTTCCATTTGGCTGTTTGGGATACATAAGTATAGGTAGTCGTGTCCTTCCTGAACACACATGAACTATTTGCCACTGAACATTAGGCAATTAACAATAAATGCAGTTGGTGACTTCCTCGAACGCATCGATCTATCGCATAAAACTCGAAACAAAGAATACCAAAGTTAAGTTTGTCTCTCATCTTGACTTATACATCTAGAAATTGAACATGATGGTCGATTTCAGACAAAACTTGACATAAAAAAGATGATTCTAACTACCTTATTTTTTTAATTTCTATGCAACAGTATCCCAGCAGCTCTCGTGTATAGCTTTCTTTTGATACGATATTTCAGAGCGTGTATGTCCTATCATGATTTTTTTTATAGATTTATTGCTGTTTATTTACGTCCAGTAGCAAACGTTTCATACATGTTCAGGACGAGACAAATAAAAAATGAATACCGTGAATAGTTAGGTCTTTCAATAGGGGGTTGACCGGGATGACGCTGGAAATTTGGAATGTCAATTGAAAATGTTAGTATGGAAAAAGGGACAGAAATTAGGCCTTGCAACTGGCCAACGCCCGTCCTCTCACAGATTTGTTGCAAGATTTCATACCATGAAAAGAGCACCGGCATCGGAGTTACGTTCTCATTCTGACCGGACGTGGCTGCGAATTTATACATCCCACACAGCCCAACGGACGCCTTTATTTTGGATACGGTTTTCTGCCATCGAAAGAAGATCAAGGGGTGATCACGTTTCTAGACCCCTGTCAACCCATGGGGTCTTCTTGATAATTAAAAGGAAGCTTTTAACCCATGGGTTTCACGTGATATAGTTACAGTTATCCTTTCGAAAAAGTTACGGACGCCATCACGTGTTGGTTACAGTTCAGTAATATATGTGTCACAGATTACCACCGATATGTTCATTAGAGTATTGTCTTGATCACAACTCGTCCTGTTTTCCTCGAATGTTACATCACGGAATGAGACTTTTTATCGAATTTGTTCATAAATGAACAACACGACGGGTGTCATATGTGAAGCATGATTTGCTTATCCTGAAAGATCCGGAACAGTTTTAGTTCATTTCATTGAAGCGCATCGATAACTTTTATACGTATTGTTAGTTGAAGTTAATGTGAATTTATGGTACAAAATCGTTTCTGTCGATAAAAATTGCAAAACTGTTGATGGGCCATGATAATGTTGCCTTGTCGGGACCTTTTATTGCCGACTATGGGTTTTTCTCATTGTTGAAGGACGTACGGTTGCCTATAATTGTTTAAATCCACTTCATATGAACTTTAATGGATAGTAGTCTCATTGATAAGCATACCACATCTCCTTGATTTTATATTGTGTTCATCGTTAAGTTAATAAATTTTCTTGGAGAATATGTTTTGATGACAGTTATGATTTGTATCCTTCATTCTCCGTCCGAATACTTTCCTAGCAACATAAAAAGAAGCAAGGGCATGCGATAAAGAACAAGGCAGAAAAAAACTATTTTAATATACGGCAGAGAGGTCACGTTTACATTGCTGGCATCTTTTCCTGAATAAGTTAAACAATATTAATGTCTTTATATTTCAAGCATTATATGTGCTAGCTCATACAATAATTTATATGGTTTGATACTGACCCCTAGTCCCCCTTTACGGATGTATCCCCCTATTGAATTTTACAAATACTTTCTTGATCCGTAGGGGGTCAGTACCCATGATGCTGGCAGATCTGCATAATACCAATAATTTAATTGATGAAGAATTTTAATATGAATATATTGATACATATATAAATAATTTTTATATTTGATAATATAAAAGTAATGCATCTTAGGATGACCATCAATGGCTTAAACTGCAGAAACACTAAAATAGTGTCGGCCCATATTAGGCTATATGGGATGTGTGGTTTATAGGCGTTTTATATTAACAAAAAGAGAAAATATCAGCCTATCAAAAGCTGTTAATTAACGTAATTTTAAACTTCGGTGGAGATCACATGTTCATTTGATATTCCGTGCATCCGAGTGGTGGGATTAAATCTTTCACCTAAATATCGAAGAACTATAGATATGGGGGTTTTAAAAAGACATTATTGGAAATCTTTTTGGCAGCTGTATATGTACAAAAAGGGGGGTTTAACTGAATAAAGGTCTGATACTGCATATATTTACATAGGTTTTTATTTGCAATTCGGCAGTATTCAAGTGTTTTATAAGTCAGGTTCAAGAATGTAATTTGAATTATGATGTCGGATAGGAGAAGTTAAAGTACATTGTTTATCAGGGGCGGATTCACAAGGCGCGCGCCTCCTAGCGACAGAAAAAAAAAATGTAATTTATAGGTGAAATTACAGCCATTTTTTTTTTGTTAAAGTTTTGTCTTCCTACTCTCATTCTCAGGGGCACCCCAACTCCCCCTTTACATCAAATCCTGGATCTGAGCCTGTTTTTTGTGCTTATTTGTGAACCTAAACATCTATATATATCTGAAAGACACTGGAAGCTTGAGATTGAATTAATATTTTTTTCTGATTTCTGTCCATTGATAAGTGCTAATAATGTTAAGTGTTCAAATGAATTATCACAAATTAACACAAATGCCGTATTGAATGGCAATGAATCCGCAGTCAAACCACTTGAGGTAGGCAGTTTGACATCCGAATTCAACTAACATTAGATTTGAACCTAGAATAAATATACGTGATGACGCAAATGCATGATATTTTTTTCCAGAATATCAGTGTGTATGCTAACCATTTACTATTTCTTGCGCAAGAAAAAGTACGTGCATGCATAAACATTGATTTTACTCGTCGAAGGTGATTTTTTTTTTGCATTTCTTATTTATGTTTTTTGTGTACTATTGTTTGTCTAGATCTGTTGGTCTTTTTCTTCCGTTTTGCAGAAATTGAGAATTGGAATAGGATTATGTCTTTGTATATAAAACACGGAGAAATAATGATGTACACTCCCAAGTAATAAATAAAATAGTCAAGCCTTAAAAGGTAGTTTCAAATGGTAATTGTATACAATTTTCTTTTTACAACTAAAATCCAGCAATGATTTTAATTGACTTGTGCACGAATCTACACACAATAACATATTTTCAATAAAGGTAATTTTTTTTTATTACCTCATTCTATCAACAGTCAATTATTTCAAATCAAAAGCAAAAATAAATTCAGCAAAAAATATTTGGTGACCAGTCAGTTGTCTCGGGTTCACGTGTTGCTTTTCTTTTTTTTAAAGAAAGCAACTTGTTTAAATCTGATAGGTAGTTTTTCGTGATGTTTTTTCTTATACATAAATACGTGTCTATGGAAGATGAAAGCCTTCATCTACGTTACTATTCATCTGGCGAAGATGAATACAGCAGCAACAGTCAGAAAGGGGAAACAACAACCAATGATAATATGGCAGGAGCACGTGGCGGGCCAGAGGATATACCCGATGAGTCCATGAGTGCTTTGGAATGCAGTAGAGTAACAGTCAGTCGCTTTAGTACACCGTCAATTCGAAGTTATTCTAATACCCCAACCAATTTGGCAAGTACACCATGTTCCAGCAGGACAATCATTCCGACTTTCCTTAGAACACCTTTATCCGGAGAAGTTCGTTCTAGCAGGTCACTTACTTCTGTCACAGAGGGTATATCAAGAAAAGAACAGACTACAGCATCAGCAAACAAGGTAAAACTTTAAAAAGTCGATGAAAATTCAAACAATGAAGTGTTTCTTAAGTGTAATATGTTATGATTTAATTTTGTCTATCTGTCTGCTTACAACGGATACGTTTTTGTCAAAGGTACTTGGGGACAGGACACTTTTTTTTAGCCAGCCCCCTTTTTTCCTAAAATTTGTTATTTTTTGTTTTCTGTTAATTTCAATTATTTTCGCATTTCTTTTTTGTATTACATGAACATAAATATATACTAGAAATAACTTGTATATTTGCTATTATCTATCAATTCCAAGTTTACTTTAGAACTGATATAAAATTGCAAATACAAGTTATTTCTAGTATATTTATGTTCATATGAAATAGAAAAACGCGAGAAAAAAATTAAATTATAAGAAAACCAAAAAAAAAAAAAAAATAACAAATTACAGAAAAAAGGGGGAGGGCTAAAACAAAAGTGTCCTGTTCCCAAGTACCAAGGGTTTTTGTTAGAACAGTGTTAGACAAGTGACCATCATAAAACACATTGAAAAAAAAAAAAATTTAAAAACAAGATGTTTTTGTGTGTAAAAAACTTTTTCCTTTAAAGGTTCAAACATTTTTTTCACATTTCTGGGACAAATATTCTTTCGTGTATTTTTTGTTTTAAAAACTAGCCATTTATAACGTCGTTTTCTTTAACAGTGATGCCTCATTTATCATTAAAGCCCTTTATTATTAAAGCTGTATATATCAATACAATGACTGTCACATAATTGCTTTAGTAAATGTTTATTAAAGTTAAAATAACCGAATCAAAATAAAACTTTCGTAATCGTATACATTTGTATATCAAGTCGAGAATTGTTGCAAATGTAACTAATATTAGTTTTATGGCAGTTACCTCAGCTAATAGCTAGATGATGTGTCTGCACGTCTGCTTAAATAGAATTGTTTGCATAAAACGGCCAAAAGAAAACCAAAGGCAAATGTTTTGAAAATGAAATTGCACACAGCAAGACATCATTAACCAAATTGGATCTTTTGTTTGTACCCAAAAGATACATAGCTTTAATACTCATTTTGTTTTTGGTTAACGATGTTCCTGTATATTTTTTTCTTAAGTTTTCATATCTTCATAGGTTTCAATCATTGCCTGATTTCGAAACCAACGGTGTGCAAAAATACAGGATAAAATGGTCATTAATTCGTTTTGCAACTAAATTCAAATTAACAATACTGACATTTGAAATCTGGACAAATCAATTATATATAGTGAATGAAAGTATATATGTATCTACTTCATTGATATAAGATGTGATGACGCATTCCTGGTAATTGAATCTGCTCAGAAAATAATTCCCCACGAAGATAAAAAGAAACGAAATTTCTTTTACAACTTGTCCTGTATATGCTTAGAAATAGTTTAATCTATCAGATTAAAGAAAAATGAAAGCGCCTCTGAGTCGGACAATTGACATATAGATATACTTTGTCTTATATTATGGTGAAATACTGCTTCTATCAATTAATGAATAAATAAAAAAGCATTTAAGGTTAAACATCTTAAAACAATTTCTTTATTATCTTTGAAAAGTAAATGATAACGTATGTACAGGTGTTAGTTATCCTTATTCTTTTGTGATCTATATTTTGTCGGTTAGCTGTTCTTTTTTCCGTTTTAATAATTATGAACTTTCAATTCTTAGTTAAATAAAAAATAAATAAATTGATTAATGATTTTTGAAACAATGCTTAAAAAAAAGAAGTCATATCATATAACTGAATTAATAAAAAGCAATAACAGTTCAAGCCGATTTTTTTAACAGTAATTTTCTATTTTCAGTAAAACCACTTTTCTTTATGTTACCACGCTTCTTTTTTTCTCTTCATGAACACATGTTTTATCATCGTCTCTGATAATTATTGTGCACACATGTTCATTATTTTCAAAATTAGCAAAACATTTAAAAGAAAATGGAGACCAATCATTCGCGCTTTTACCATATTTTCTAAATAAACTGTTGCAAAATCAATAGTTGTACAATATGTATCAATCGGTCAATTGATCTTTCGATGAGTAACTAGAACTAATAATTTTTATTTGTCAATTTCAAATCAAAACGGAGGCAAAAGCCGCTAATCGGATTTTCGTTTACGCGTGTTCTTTATCTATGATTATTGTAAAATTGAAACTATGGTCACAATTGAAAATGTTCTTCATTTTTACCATATATTTCATTAAAATTGTGATGTTATCCGTTATTTTGCATTATATTTATGTCACTGATTGTGACCAAACTGATCACATTGGTTTATAGTAAATTAATCTCCTGTTGAATCTTAACATTTCCATCTGTTCTAATGGGACCATTTAAAAGCTCTGCTCCGAAAGAAGAAACAACAGTTTCACATTTTCAGCTATTATACTATAGTTTTGAATTACCAAAAATATTACTCATTCACTTAAAATCTCATTTATTTCATCGTGTATCTAAAATTTCACCTGATAGACCTTTCATAACATTTTTTTTGGTATATATATATATATGAATCGACGATTTGCCGATGGGAAATATGATATCGTGACAAAAAATCTAAAAATGAGTACACAAATATCATACTTTATATACGAAATGTACTATATGAAAAGCACTTTAACCTTTACAAATTTGTATTGCGTTTTGAATAATAAGTTACTGTACTATAATGATTAATTATGGATAAGGACAAATTATTATGTCCTATCTAATCAGCATATCTTATATGATATTTTCACCAAAACAGTATTTTTAAGCTGAGTTTTCAACTTTTATTTCTCAGTTTACAACTGAATTATTATATTTAAAATTGGGAATGGAAATGGGGAATATGTCAAAGAGACAACAACCCGACCAAAGAGCAGACAACAGCCGAAGACCACCAATGGGTCTTCAGCGCAGCGAGAAAATCCCGCACCCGGAGGTGGTCCTTAGCTTGCCCCTAAATAAAATTGTGTACTAGTTCAGTGAAAATGGACGTCACACTAAACTCCAAAACATATAAATGAACTAAAATTAAAAAAAACATACAAGACTAACAAAGGCCAGAGGCTCCTGACTTGGGACAGGCGCAAAATTGTTGATTATATATTAATCGCCAGGTAAATTTTATATGTTGCTACAATCATGTCCTGTTGTTCGGAGCGCCTTAAGTGCCATATACATATACAATTTTCGTTCGCCCGAGATTTAATCTGGTGCACATCAGTTTGAAAAATCGTGCGCACCACTTTGAAACTAGTGCGTATGAAAAGTCGTGTGTACCATTTATGAAAGTCGTTCGCATTATTTTAAAAGTCCTACACACCATTTTTGAAAGTTTCACACCAGTTTTTGAAATGACATGCGCATTATTTTCGATGTCTTGCATACGATTTTTGAATTTCGTGCGCACCAGTTTTAAAATCCAATGATTTGTATTTTAACAACTAAAGTTTCACGTGTCGGGTGAAAATTGCAGGATAAAAACAGTATATGTACATTGTCGGAAAATATAAAATGTATTTGTACTCGCTGCGAAACAGGAGAAAAGCTCGGAGAGCCTCGCTTTTCGTCCTGTTTCTAAAGCTCGTACACATACATCTTATATTTTCCGACAATGTACATACATTGTATATAATATATGTTATGCTTTAAATCTGTTATATACACTACTTGTATACATCGGTGAATGTCATAAATTTAGGTGGTTTTTTTAGGTACATATATATTCTGAATGACGGATTGATTTAATAGTCTTTTGGTTTTTAAGAAATGATGAACTTTATTGAGTTTTGTAACTCATGTATTTTAAATGGTTTAGTTATAATTGTTATTTTTAGATTGACACTTTAACAAAGAAGTCATCTAAATGAAAAGGCAACTGGTAAAAGTGCAAGAAAAACAAATTAATGTTGAAAAGAAAGTGGATATTATGATTCAAATACTACAATCAAAAACAAATGAACGAAAAAAGGGAAGCCAAAAGATTAACGTCCCTGCACAAGTAAGTAATTATTCATTGTTCAACTTTTAATTACCTTTTCAAAATATTGCATATTGTACATGTAGTAGCGGATTACAATTTTGTTTTCGGACTATATGTACAAAGAAGTAATTGTGGTCGGCACAAGATTCGAATACATATTGCACACTTACATTTTGTGTTTTAATTGTATAAATATTGCAAAATTTTACACACTTTGATTACATGTTGTTGTGTTTTAATTAGAACGTAATGAAGTCGTGAAGTTAAGAATGTACATGTATATATATTTTATGTTTGCGACTTTCTACACATATAATTATATAACTTCAGTTCTCAGTTGTTCTTGATGCATGCAATTACTTTTTCCTTTCAGCAATCAAGAAGGGATGGTTATCAGCAGGGTATTACTGAAAAGGATTTCATCTGGAGAATAAAGAACGAAACTGGCAGTATTTCAAAGTATGTATATGAAATTAAATAATTTAAAAGTTTCCTTGGAAATTGAAAAAATCTCATGGTTTGTTATTCAAACCAATGTAACTTAATATGTAATGTATGTCCACATTCATCATTAAACGATACGGTTTTAGGAAAAATGCTCGATTACTTGTGATTTACGACATTGAAACAGATTTAATTTTGATCATATATCTACTTTGAATCATTAATTATGAAATTCTACTTATTCGAGTATAAATCTTAATTTTGTACACAGCTTTTGGGTCAATTTAAGTGAAAAGTTTGCAGGATATATATATGTGTATTTGGTAATCATAGTTCTATTCAGATTCAAACAACATTTTAGCAATAATTGATAATTATTGCCGACATTTGTTACACTCTTATTTAAGGAAGCTTTGATTTACAGTAAGATTATTTTTTCAATTTACTTTTTTTTAAATAATTTTACAGAGAACAAAGAGAAGTCTGGATTCATCATATAATTTGTAAAAGGCCCAATATCCTGATGAAGTGAACGGTGTTGTTAGAGGTTTGTAGCCCCCCTCCAAACCCCAAAAACAAAATAGTCGAAATTGCTGTTCTGCAATACAATTGCTTAGCCTAGAAGGCATGTTTAACTGTCATATTAAGAATGACATCTAAAAAGTTAAAAGTAGTCAAATTCAGTTGATACTTTTTTTATTTTGGAAAAGAGTGTTACGTTACTGAATAAATCCTAGCTTATGTTAACATTACATTGATACTGTCGGCTTTTTTTTACAAGAGGGTATTTTTGTTGTGCTGTTTTAGGGAGCAACCATTTAACTTTAAGGGGGGAGGGGGTATGGTTTTTTGTCTGAGTCAGAATTTTATTTTTTCACCCAAAGCGCGAACATTTTTTTTTTGCAAAATTTAACACTATAAGGTAAGAGGAAAATCTGGATTCAGAATATTTTTTTAGGAAATAACCATACCCCCCCCCCCCCCCCTTTGAAATCACATGGTCGATTCCTTGTTGCTACACACCTGTATCCTACCTCTTTTTATTTCGAAACATGACGTTCAATATTACCATTGAATTCACTTCATATGATTTCGGACCAAGTGTTGAAATGAGTAATCCCATTACCAGCTAGGGGCCTGTTTTTCGAAAGTATCTTATGACTAAGACATGTCTTATGATGGTCTTAGGACATGTCATAGTCGTAAGATATGTTTTCGATATATCATAACTTTTGTCGTAAACTTAGGACACTAGCTCGCGACATGACTTACGATGGTCTTATGATTATCAACTAGAATTCTAATTACTTTTCATGTATAATGTACATTACAATAAAAATAATAGTTGTGTTGCTCAGTCGGCAAAATATTTAGATTTATTCTTCTCCATTTTGCATTCAAACTTTTTGAATCTCCTGCGACGTAAAATTTGGACTCCTTTTCTTACTCATGATTTTGAAAAATAAATATACATATTATTTCTTTCCTTATATATTACTTTATTTACGCATTTGCTCGGGTATATAAGCAGACACTTTCAGTAATATTTTGAAACGCCATATAATTTCCATATTATAAATAATAGCAAATGCATACTATCATATAACTTTAATAGATCTATTTTGATTTCGATCATATCACATCAAAACATTCTACCATGGAATAACCAAGTGACACTGTTTAGTCTCAAATGGAGGCAAGCAATTGTATATTAAAAAAATTTTTCTTTTACATTGCGTCAAGTAGATTTTTTTTTTGTAGGATGGATAAAGACAAATTTTGAATCGTTCAAAGCAAAGAAACGAAGAGACGAAACTGGTAAACAAGAAGAACATAACAGGAAAATGGCTGTGTACAGTAAGATGAGAAGAGTAAGAACTGATTTTTTTATTATGGTGAACAATTAAGATATTACAGTCAACATAAGAAGCGGATTTAGACGGGAGTTTTATTTGATATTATATACTTATATCACTCTAAACAGGGAACCCCCTTTTAACTTCATTTTCATTTTGCTTTTCACTAAATTCCTTTTGTGACGCTACAATAAAAAAAAGAAAAAGGTGACTATATCTAATGACGTCACATATATATATATATATACCTCATTTTGCAGATCGGTGAAAAAGTTTGTCTACGTAACGTCTAAAAATCAAAATAGAAACAGAATCCAACACCGAATCTCGTGCAATATAATAATTCTCCACTCTCGACAATTGAATTTTCAATACTCAAAAAGCTCGGCAGGCCTTCACTTGATGTAACGGTAGAATTTATCTCTCCCTCTCTCGCCGGCCGGGCTTTTCAAGAGAGAGAGAAATTAAATGCTAAGAATTGAGTGTTCTGTTGGATAATATATTATATTCATAAATAATATACAGCATGCTTTCTGTCACAGTAATCACTAGTATTTTTTTTACAGACTGCTTTTTGCTGAGGTTATAATAATAATAAAAATAAAAATAATAATAATAATAATGATAATAATATCTTTATTGAAAGAGAGTTATTACGGCATATATGGAATCTATTTGTATGTATTCAAAATGAAATTCAAAGAATTTTGATTTGAGCTTTATTCTCTTTTTTTTTTTAGAAATTAAACAACAGAAAAGAGGCCCTAAAAGTAAAAGTCCAGTATACCAGAGGAACAAAAAGAAAAGGGCTCGAATAGCCTTGTGGTGCAGAACATGTCTTATGAACAAACAGATTCATAAGACGAAGGATCGTTTATCGTCAGACCTCTGCCATGGAGGTCTGACGATGTTGATAAATTAGTAAAAAAAAACTAGGCCAAAAGCATAATGATCAACTAACCAAGAGAAGCAGACGGCAGCACCATAAAGGAAAGGTTGGGGCAGTTTCCTCAAGGATAAAACCAGAAGTCGTGCCAGGACATGAATGGGTGTTTAAATAGTTTAAAAATAATGTCAATGATTAAACTTTATTCGTTTTAAGTATGCAAGTTTTACCGACCATAGTAAATGCTACATGTGATTGTTAATAATTTTTACACAATTATTTGTCCAAAACTAAAAAAAACAAAAAATCTGATATATCGTTCTATTCTTATATTAACATATTTCAGTCATCACGAAATCAAATAGATGCGAACAGAAAGAGAAAAAATACATCTTCATGTCGGATGTCAACATACCGTCTTCAACAACAACAAGCGGTTCGAAAGGGGAACGTTTTTCATAAAAAATAGTAAAGAAAAGTTCTTCGCGAAACAACAGTAATACTATTGTAATGGGCAAAACTATTTAAAAATAACACGAACAATGTACATTTCATTGGCAAAACAAAATATAATAACTTTTTTGATTTGTAACCTAGCATCACGGAAAATAAATGTTAAAAAAATATTTTTTTATAGAATCTTCATTTTTAGATGGAAAATCTTGTTTTTTTTATATAAATATGGAAGTGATACCGAGAAAATAAGCAGTGTATTATTTGCACATAGTAGTAAAAAAAAAAGAAGAAGACAAAATGGTAATTCTTCGAAATAGTAAGAAACTTGGTATATATTAAATTTCAATGTTTTAAATATTTCTGTTGTGCGTAATTATACAATATAAACAAGAAAAAACTAGATAGCAGTAAATTTTATCTGGTACCCTGATATAAGCAATCATACAATGCATGTATACAACAGTTGGTTTTACATTTAAAATCCTTGTTTTAGTTGTGAAGCTCTTCATTGTGTATTTTTTATATTATATTGATGTCCACGCGAGCATAATCAAATATATATTTTGAAATTAATTGCACTGATAAAACATATAGACATGTAACTGGGATCTTATATGTGAATTTTTTTTTTCTTCAATTGATTAAAAACAGTAAGCAATGAAAGGGAAACAACTCTTGTTAAAATAAGAATATTTTTCGTATCTTTAAAAATTGAAGAAATTTGTTGTTGTTTTTTAGCTTAAAGGTTTACACGTTTATAATAATTAATATTCTTATAAAAAATAAGTATTAAGATCTTGATTTTTTTATTTTAATAAGAAAGGGGTTGTATAGAATTGGGTGCTTGTTAAACCCTCCAAATTACGTTGGATTTTATTATTCAGTTCGAATCTTTGTATTCAAAGGGAAATAACTCTTTCTATTAAAATAGTTGTAAGTTGTAATTAGGTAAGACAATCAAAACAACCACAACAAAGAGAATTCTGCAAATATGTTTCTGCTTATTATATTTAAATACTCAGTCCTTTTACGTCATGAAGCTGATATGTTTTTGTTCCTTAAAAACAGCTTTAGCAAAAACAAACAAAAATGCACAAAATTCGAGTTTTATAATTTTGTTATGTATGTAGATGTTTTTTTTTTAATTATTATAGAATGGAATGTTAGTACTTTAATTTGTCATGTATTTGTAAATTGAAAATAATGAATAAATTTAGCTAAGATTCTAGATAATTGTTTTTTTTTTTATTCAGGATTTCGCCATAGTCTAGATCTCCATTACGGGCAGTTTTTTTTATGAATTTCCAGTTGCTCCTCTCACTGTAATATCTTATATTTTGAGGCAATCATGAGTGTTTAATTCGAATTAT